CCCAGGATCCCATTGGCCTTCTTGGCAGCCAGGGCACACTGCTGGCTCATGGTTAACCTGCTGTCCACCAGGACACCCAGGTCCCTCTCCACAGAGCTGCTCTCCAGCAGGTCCACCCCAAGCCTGTACTGATGCTTTCTAGAGTTTACATAGAGGGAAAAAGGTCTAGTATTACTGCATAGTCATAGATGTTATGCTGTACTTTCTAATGGTTTTGACAAAATATTTGTTTCCAAATTTTGGAGATTGACATTCTTTGAGAATTTCTCCAGAAGTGTCATAAAACGTACTCTGTGTTAGTAGCTACAGCTTTTAGGTGGTCTATCAGTTTAAAGAATGAATTAAATATCAGTTTTCAAGTGTGACTTTTTATATAGTTTTTGAAGGTGTTTTTCACTGTGTAAGGTAAATAATTGTCTATTTCCTGATTTACTCTTGCTGGTAATTAATAGTATTTATTTGTTGTATTTCAGAACCCGTCTTGAAGAATTAAGAATGTTTTTGGAGAATGAGACCTGGGAACTCTGTCCTGTGAAATCAAGCTTTAGTATTCTGCAACTTCATGTACGTTCTGTGAATAGCGCATTCAAATGTATAAATATTTTAGTAGCTAAGAGTCTAGGTATTCTGAGAAGTAGTAAGATCTGTGAACTACTATGCAAACGTTTTTAATGGCTGCTGAGACCCCCTAAATTTCATTTCATGATATTGGAAGCTTAAGATTCAAATGCTTTTAAAACAGTAGTGTTTCTGTTTCAGGCAGATAGAGGTTTACAGAAGATAAGAGTAAGATGCTAAAAGATGAGTGCCTAAAAGTAGTCACGTGTGCGCTCACTAACTTGTGCCAGTTTTGGCATCTGTTTTTGGAAACACGGGTCATACTGGCTCATTTTGATAGGGGAAAAAAAATATGTTTATTCTTCTGTGGTGAGGTCCAACTGAGAGCAAGTAATTGGTGTGCTCACCTGTTGTCTTAAAGGGATTTTTGTGAAGTTTAGCACATGGTGGGTGAATTTCACCTGTTTTGCCAAATGAAATGTGGGTGCCTATAGTTAAAGCTGTCACTAAAGTGCAAAAATGGATACAGCTGAGCAATCTCAAGCAAAAGATAATTTTGTAGCTTCTATAGAGTTAACAGTAAAAGTAAGCAAGAGGCTACTGGGGCGGTAATAGCCCGGAGGGGAAAGGAAGGAAGACCCTCAGTAGCATCCAGTAGCAATAGAAATAACATTTTTTAATAGAAAAATGGGATTATAAATCCATACGTACTGCTCAAGAGACTGGAGCAGCAGAAAATGGCAGGAAGTAACTGATTCACTTAAACAGAAATCTAACATTGCAGTCCTTTTAGCTGGATGTATTTTCATCTTTAAACCTTTAGATAAATGATAATGTACATTTTGCCATTCATGAAGATCAATAGCTAGAGTTTAATATATAAAAATGATATGTCAACAGAGATGAGTCAAGGTTTTTAGAAAAATAAGTCTAAAATCATACCTTATGTGCCCTACTCCAGTCCATATATTTGCAAGTGTCTGTGCACTCACTCAACTTCATGTGCAATGCAATGGGTTTGAAAAGTAATAAATTTTGAGAAGAACTATTTAAAAAGAAAATGCTAAGAAAAAAATCTCAGCTTTACGAAATTACTAGTTAACTTGTGTTAAAAAACAAACAAGGACAAAAACCTTCATCTTTGGGTAGAATTTAGGCCTTGTTTTATCTCCTAATTTCTGTGAAATAAAAAATCCATTTGGTTTTCACCCAGTTTTTAGACAGCGAATACTTTCAGAATACAGGAGATATATTGCACGTCATAGCCAAAACCTGCTAAAATTAGAAAGACGAGCGGTAGAAGATTGCCAGTTTCAAGGTTAACTTGAGCCAGCCTGAAAAGCATGTAGAAATAAGCAACAAGCTTTGGCTAAAAGTTTTTGTATCAGGTTAATGGTTCACGAGTTTGTTGTTATGCTCTGGTTTTATGGAACTGGAGTCATAATAATACTGAAACTGTCTTGTTGGTGATTAAAATTGTACTTTATTTCTTTTAATAGGAATTTAAGTTCATGGAGCAGTCACGTTCCCCATCTGTGTCACCTAGTAAGCAGCCTGCTTCAGCAATTTCAACAACAGAAACATTATTTGAGCAGTACTGTAATGGAGGAAACCCATTTGAAATTCAGGCTGACAGCAAAGATGATGAGACAGAAGATGTGTTAGCTTCTAATGGGGTATGGAGTCTTTCAGAAAAAAAAAAACAGCAAAGAAATCTTGCTCTCAGTGAATGATGATTTGTTTTTTTTATCAATGATGGCAAAATGTCGTAGTACAAGGATCAGTTAACTGCAGTATTGTAAAATCTCAAGCCACTTTACTCCTTTAATTAGGTAGGTCGCTTTGTTTTTAACACTGCCAGAAAGCCAGACATCCTGTTTAAAGTTCAGTTTGTTTTTCAGTGGATCGATATTTTTGTTTTTTTCCACTGAAGTGAAGCGTTCCTGAAGGCTAGCAGTACAGATTCCACTTTATTATTTTTCCAGGGGTTTAAGTTAGCTTTCTTTGTGGAAGTAATTTTGTCATTTTAGGACTGGCTTTCTGACTTATTAGGAAAGAATCATTGTGGGTTGCTCCTTCTTTTGTATTTGTTCACACCAGTGTGATTTGCCGTGGATTATCTGATGTTTGTTCAGTAGTTTTTAGTTGTAATTTAAGTGCTCAGGACACTTGTGAGATCTACTACAAAACTAAACAACTTTCTGTCAAAATCTAGCAGTGGTCAAACATGTTTTGCTTTAAAACTTAGTACCGTTCTCTTAAATGCTATATTAGCATATTTTTATTGAAGCTTTTGCTCTTGTTTATCCCTTTGAATAATGTTTTCTTGGGCTTTTTTTGTGATAAGGTTGGATTTAGTTTTTTTGTTGAAGGTTAGTTAATGCAGCTTGTCACACTAATGGCTTTCTGGTTTTCCGCTTCATCTTGCTTTTCCCGTGGAACTTCAGTTGCAAAGCAGTTGATGGCATTGACTTCCTACTTCCTCTGCACTAAGCTTTTGCTTCTGTAATCATGAAAACATTTGATGAAAAAAATTAGGTAGAAAATACTGATACATATGTTGGAAGTACTGTTCGTTGACCTTTGTCAGCCTGAAGGGTCCTACTGCTGCCAGGCAGACCGCTGTTAGTAATACCCTCTTCTGTCTTCAGTTTCTCCAGTGATGAACCTATTCAGAGAAGTAATAGAGCTTAAAAGCGAGAGGGAAAAAAAAAAAAAAAAGCTTTGACTTTCTGTACAAATAGTGTTTCGAGTACAAACTCTGCATGCAGTGATAGTTACACAGGAATTCTCGTGAGACCAGTGGTGATTCTCTTACAGCATCCCGCTTCTGGTGGTGGTTAGCAGAGACACTGTGGGTTTGTGAGAGGTAATCCACCCTGCAAGTCTTACTGGGACACTTTGTTACCTGCGTCAGTTACAAGACGTAAATGTGTGGGATGGCTTTCCTCTGTTTCAGAATCCTCCTGAGAAAATGGCAAATAAGCCACCCCCACCCCAGAACCATGTTCTTTACTGTAATGGAGTAATATCGTTCTTTAGGAAGTTCTTTGTTATCTTTGTTGCCTTATTACCACAGGGAGTTGATAAATTCAACCACCTAATCATCCTGGGTAGAAATGTCTTTTTATTCTGAATTTGTCTCTAGTCACTGGTAGAAATCTCTGTATGTAAAGGTTACTGTTTTCATATTGATTGTTCACGGCTGTCTATTTTTTTGAAGGTGCGTGAGGCTTAATCTCAGCCAGAGCTGAAGCTATTTAGGATTACTTAGTAAGCATTAGTTTGTTAGTAAAGGATTGACTCATGCTTTGCACGTAGGTGCTGCTATAGCTGCAAGCACTGTGGTGGAGATGGGGTTCTGGTAAATCCCTGTCAGGATGCCAAATGTCTTCTCTGGTGGGGCTGAGCGCGACTGCCTCGCCCCTTCAGCAGTGCCAGGCTGTGGTTTTGGTGAAGCAGGCTAAGGGCAGTCATGATGCCGTGAATTAGCAGTAGGCTGATGTGTTACACGTGTAGCAAAGTCCACGTTGTGGTTTCCCTGTCTTTTGATTCTGAACAGTGTTTCATTTGGTAGGCTTGCACATTGTCGGGGACTTTCAAGGCTGGCTGCACTGTCCGCTTATTCAAAGCTGTGTGCGAATTTAATGTTCTTTATTAGTGAAACCTTAATATATTTCAAATTGGTAAAATCTGATTTTGTGCCTGGTGAAGAACGGTAATGAATTTTGGCTTTGCTTTGACACCAGAGGGACAGAATGTTCTGTGTGGAAAAAGTGAAGTACCAGTTATATGATTTATTATGCATTTTTCTTGTGAAACATAGATTAGGTTTACAGTCATTCATATTATAAATTAGGTTTTTTTAACCTTAAATGTGGTGGTGTTTGGAGAACTTAGGAATAGTGTGTGGAACTAACTTTTTTTTTAACTAAAAGGTAAAATTAAGTTTCAGTTTGCTCAATGTAATTTAAAATTGATTATGGAGGATGGTGCTTTTGATCTTTCTTCCCTCCTTGTGGAAATCGGTTGTGGTGAATATTTCCTTTATTTGACATGGTTCTAGCAGCGCTGTATGCGAACAGGTTTTATTCCATATAGTAACTGGAGTTTAGTGCATTGGAAAATGGGAACTGACTGCTTTTAATATTGAAAGATGTTAAGCAAACCTGAAGAATTGTACTGAGAGTGCAGACGAGGGTGTTCAACAATGCTAAGAAGGCACACACTTGGTTTTCATCAGTGTATTTGGCTGTTAACTCAGTTATTTGAGGGATAAAATCCTTTCCAAAATCTTTGTGAGCAAGGGAGGTATTATGCATATTGACACAGAGAATTGAGACACAGGATGGGTTAATTAAATTTTCAGACATTGAACAGGACATCTAACCTGGCTGGTATTAGAACCAAGGTTTCCTGTGACCTAAGTGACAATACTCTACAGGTGACCATCCTAGCTTCCCTTTTCATATTTTTTCTCCTCTCTTCGTTACCAGCTGTTCCAAAGTGCTGACACATAGAAGGAAAAAAAACCAGTTACACCTATTCGGGTATCCTTTACATAGAAATAACTGGCTTAGGTAATGTGGGATAAAATTTCTACAAAGGTTTTATGTTTCAGTTGCTTGACTGACCAGTTAAGGTGGAGGCATGTTTTGGCACTTAAAATTGAAATGATTTCAGGTGGAGGTTGCAAAATTTTGTTTCCACAGAATGCAGGCATGTTTCCAGATACTTCCAAGAAATGGCAGGAGAAGGACAGAAGCAATTAATTTACTTGTCAAATGATCTGTAGGATGGTAAGAGCCATCAGAATTTCGTTTGAGAATTTCAGAGTCTTTTTAACCTCTCAGTTGTTGCAGTTCTGGACAACTGGAAACAGACTTCTGGATCTTGTCACCTCAGCTTTGTATCTTGAGCTTCGGTGAGATGCTTTATGTCCCTTTTCTGTAGCTCCCAAAAATAGCTTTGTGGCCACACAGTTAACTTAGTTTTGCAACACTCTTCAACTTTGACGAATCTTACCACTGTCGTGTGGGTTTGTTTGGGCTGATTGCTAAAAGACATGTGAATCGATTATTGCTACAAGAATCTGAATTCCTTTTAGCACTTTAAAATTTTGCTGCGGACTGTGCATACTCGAAATGGATTTATAAGGTCTCTTCAGGTTGAGGTCACTATTTAATAGTTGTGAGTGAGTTACTGCATACTTGAACATGCAGAGATTTTTATCTCATAAAATAACTTTCCCAGCTCATTAATAGCATTAGGTTGAGGAGACTTAACAAAGTATTTTTCCATGTAAAAAATTTCTCAAAATTCTACTTATCTATGATGTTAAGACAGTTAATATGTCATTTGTCAGGTCCATATATCAATATGAATTGTATTTAAGAATTTGTAGTCAATTTATCTTTTTACTAACACTGGATTTTAATTAAATCAGCATGTCATTTGTTGTATATTAATGCATAATAAGTGGTGGTAATTCTCCATGCTAATGTTCCAGCCAAGTTAGTTAAACTATGACTCTCTTTGTCCTTAATCAAGCCTGACCTCAGCTCATTTTTGAAATAAACTGAGCTGCTTTCATTATAGCTTTCCTTTGTCTGAAGTGTTCACAAGGCAGAAATTTTGCCTGGGAATCCTAATAATCAGAACATTTCTCTTAAGTCTATGTCTCATACTACATTCTTTTTTCTATCTGAGCTGGTTTTGCTTTGAATTTGTTTGTACTGTGGGCTTCCTGCTTTTATAATATGCTGTTTTCATAGTGCTAGGCTTTGAAAACCTCCATAGCTTGGGGCTGGGGCCAGGAACTGCCATGCACGACTGAAAAAATGTATTTCTTGGGTGCGTTTTAGATGATTGAGACACTGGCATTATGTTAGTGTATCTTTCTTGGTTGTCCTTTCTGGAGAGCGGTTGTATCCTTTAAAACCGTGGCATTTCTTGAGGATCGTGGAAACAGACTGTCTTTGTCGTGTGTGTTATTATTGACTTGCTTCAGAGCAGTGTATATGTTAAGGAGAAGCTGAAGAGAAAAGTGTTGTGATCTCTCTTCAAGTGCAAGTGCATTCTGGAGCCTGATATAAGCTTAATGTTGGGATAGTTGCGTAGGTATTCAGGAAAAAGGATTCTATCACAGAGCATCAAGTATTTGTTTTCCTTTAATCTTTTCTGAGTTAAGAAATTCGCCTTATGAAAGAATTAATTTCATTATTAATGAAGTGTCTAAAGCACCTATATTACAGAGCAACCTAGAACACTTGAAAAAGAAATTGACTTTAAATCCTGCTTTTAATTGGAGTGAAAAAAAGATTGCAAATTTCAGGTGTTTTTTTTTTTAAATTAAAAATCCCAGTTGTACACTTTTAATATGTGTATGTGGCTTCATCATTATAAAAAGCATTGATTATCTGTGTGAATAGTATTTCTCCACATAACTCATACTTTAGCAATAATAATACATCTGCCATGGAAATCCTATATTGTATTATGTGTGCTGTAGCCGGTGTTGCTCTTTTTTTCCAGACATCGCTTGTTAGGCTCCAATCTTCCATCCTTGAATTGCAAATAATTCTTTTGCGATCTTTGAAATGCAGTTCAACAATTGAACAGAGTGAAACAGTTTCAAAAAATTAAAAATGCAGCTGAGTGTTGGGAGGCAGTAGTTGTCTGTAACTACTTAAGCTTCTTATTTTTCAAAAGATGCAATTAACATCAAATGTTGTTCCTCAGTATAAGAAGGCGCATCTCAAGGCAGGTATATATGGTTAATTTACGTATACATTCACATTTTTCATAGGGATATTCTAGAATAATTTGTGGCATTTGTGGCAAATGAAGTAAATGGTGCATGAGATTCCATCAGAGAGCAATTGTTTCACTGATAATTAGATAAATATTTCAAATAGCAGGGTCTTGTGACTTTAACTAGATAAAGGGTACTGTATGTTTCAGAACAAAGCCAAGAACCAGCACATGCAAATAAATCCAAGCGTGCCCCAAACACCTAATGAAGTCTTCTGAGAAAGCAAGGAGGGAAAAAAAAGAAAATACTTCTAATCTAGCCTGCACTGGTTTATTTCACTGATACAGTTGAGTTATATCATTAGGGTGTTGCTTAGAATTACAGCACACTGTGGTTTTGGGTTTTGTTGCAGTTTTTCTCCTCTGTGAGGAAAGGTAGATAAGTTTCGGTTGCAGAATCCTGTTCCTTGCTTGCTCTGCAATTTTTGTTTGTTCCATGTACAGTGCAAAGTTTATAAGCATAAAACAGATAAATGTATATAAAGCTACTCTTGCTGTTGATGTAGACGGAACAGCATACAGTTGAAGAAAATAAGTACAGAAAAATTAGTAAGGAAAAAACATTACATGATAATAGTAGCCATGAGAAATACTTATATTTTTGTAGCAGCAATTGACTGCTTATTGTTTTCTTGAAATGTTTGTGCTTAGTCAAAATCTCGTTGGCTTCTGGCAGGTTAAATGGTTGAAAGACTCTAGTAGAAATGTCTTTTTGAGTGTGCTAAAATCAATTTTACGAACAACTGCAAGTTGGGTTTTTTTGTGTTGTTTTTCTTAAATAAATGTGTACAATGTGAGTATTTTTGTGAAGCAACAATTTAGTCCTTCGTGCATTAATAGTTGAGGATTACATGGTACCAGTTTTTTTTTGGTTAATTGCCACCATATGGATACGTTTTGAGGTTTTATTACTGTTTTTTCAGATTGTAAAGCAATTAATAAAAGCTCAGATCTGTGGGTACTTGATACAGCAACAAGAAAGCAAAAAAAAATCAGTAGCTTGGAGGAATAGGATGGTGCAAATATTTACTCAACATCTGAGAGTAGAAGTTTATTTAGAAATGCACTGACAAATGGCTTTGTATAATTTGCCTGCTACATTTTTCATGAACATTGTCAGCAGCCTTTCAACAAGCGAAGTTATGTGTATCCTGATCAAGGTAAAAGTCAAGAAGCCAAGAAGTGACCAAAAGGCTACGTTAAATGAGTGACAATATTATTTGGAAAATAATGGCAGTAAATTTATTCTCTTTTTCTTTTCTTTTTTTTTTTTTCCTAACAGTACGAATCAGATGAACAAGAAAAAAGTGCATATCAAGAGTACGATAGTGACAGTGATGTTCCTGAAGAGTTGAAAAGAGATTATGTGGATGAGCAGACAGGAGATGCCCCTGTGAAAAGGTGAGTAGACTGAGTCCTTAGTCTCATTTACATGCTTTTTGTCTCAGTACTCTAATTAGTTCATTTTCTGTTTAATCTACACTCTACGACAATGGAATAATAATCAAATAATCTTTATGCTACCTGCACAGTTAGAAAGGCTCAGCACTTCGATCTCTGGAAGGGGGAGGAACGTTAAACTTCTCATCATTATTGCAGAAAGAAACTTTGGAAAGCAGGATTTTGAAGGAGGATAAAGGGTCTCTGAAGCAGGTAGTGGAAAACTGATTAGCAAACGTTAGATGTTAACTGAAGGGTCTTCTACAACTGCTGTTGTGCATACTTATAATTTCTGTTGTGTCAGAAGCAGTTGTTTGCAGACAAATGGCTTGAGGCTTGGGCTTCTGTTTTTTGTGGAACAAAAGTAAACATTTACAGGAAAAATTAAAAAAAAAAAAAAAAATTGTTCCGTAGCTTGAAAGAGATGTTTGGAATTTTAAAATTTCTTTTTCTTTAAGAATATATATAATGAGAAGGAGAGACACACACATATATATACATGAACATACATATTAAATTTTGGTGAATATATATAAAATATTTTATTTATGCATGTTCATATAAATAAAAGCCAACTCTGTAGCCTTTAGAAGGATCTGAAATACAAATTACTGCTTAGCACACCGTGCCACTTAGATGTCCATTCAGACTTTGTGAAGCAAGCTGACATTATGTGTATGTAGAGGATTGCAGGAGAACTAGAAAGCCATAACTTGGGTCAGAGGAATTTTTTTTTTTTCTTTACAACATAAGTCCTTAGAATAAAATATTGTTGGCATGATTTCAGAATCATACGTCACATAAACTACTTTTTCTCAAAGAAGTGATGAAGATACAGGTAAAAATTACTGAATTGGAGCAAACCACCGTCACTGTCCATAGGTTTGTGCTGTGAAGTTGAAGCATTATGAATTTTTGGAAGAAGATTGTTTTGAAGTATGGCAGCAGGCAGAAGGTTTCTCTTACAGAAGCATAGAATATCTCAAGTTGGAAGGGATCCATAAGGATCATCAAGTCCAACTCCCTGCTTCTTGTGGGACTACAATTTATGAAAAATTTAATATCCTTTTAGTTTTATCTTCCTCAAAATTGTTTCCATTTTCAGCTGTAGTTTACTAGTCTGCCACTGTTTTGTTGTGACTTTGGTTGTTTCCATTTTCTTTACTTAATAAACTATGAACTGGAGTCAGAGTGGTTAAAATGATTGCTGAGGCCAGACAGAGGCCTGCAGAACTTAAGTCTTGAACTGTAACTCTGAAACTCCCTTCTTTAGCACAATTTTATGTAAATTAGGCCAGGCTTCTCTCTGTAAATGTTAGAGTCCTAACTGAGTTATGCTTTGGCAGAAATAAAATACTGCACTGGAAGACATACTGTCATGTGAAAGAAGTGGGGGAGGAAGGATTTCTTTTCCACTAATTTTTATGTGTATGTCTTGGAGTATAATAGGCAGTCACATTTGGTGTATTTTGTTTTGCTTTCTTTAAAGTGTTTCTCGAGAAACTCTGAAGAGCAGAAAGAAATCAGATTATAACCTCAATAAAGTGAATGCACCTATCCTAACAAACACTACGCTGAATGTAATAAGGCTTGTTGGTACGTAGAACAATTGTAGTTTTTTATACATGTGTTTTGATTTTAACGCAAACTTATGGATTATAGAAAATATGTTAAATGAATTTATAAGGCTTTTAAAAATATACCTAGTTGAGCTCGAGAAAGTAAATAAAATAGAAATAAAGCACTAAACCAAAATATTTTTAAATTAAATAGACAAATTTGGTTATATCTTGTGAGTTATTTTTACTGTGAAAATTAATCTGCATACATACCATGATTTTAACTACTAATGGTGGATTTATTTGTCTAAAATACTGAATGCATAAAAACAGCGGAGTTATGAAGGAAATAGATTAATGTTTTATTTTGCTGATGTGTCCTGGTGGATTAAATGCTTCATTTTAAAGCAGTATAGTTACAAAAGTAAGGACTTAAAGATTGGGGTGTTTTTGCCCTTTCATTACTCAAATTCTCACATCTAGAATAACTCTTCTTACTACATGGTAGACAACTAGAAGAAAAGTACCCTCCAATACTGGGAATTTCAGTAATTGGAATGCATCGTAGTAATTCCTGGGGAGTTTAGGGAATCGCTGTCCTTGGAGGTGATCAAGACACAACTGGACAAGCCCCTGAGCAATCTCATCTCTTTAGACTTGCTCTCTGAGCAGGAGGTTACACTAGATGACTTCTGTAAGTTGTTTCCAGCCAAAAATTTTCAATGAAAACACTCTCCTCCAGTTCTAGGTATAATGGGATTGATTTTTTTGTGATCGTGACTTCCATTTGATTATCTAGATAATTGTACAATAGCAATTTTCAGCTACTGACTTTCATTTTATTTATAGAGAATGGCAAGTAACTAGCTATATTTGTCAGGTTAGGCAGAAGAGAGAGGAATTCTGTGCATGTTATATTAATGAGGTTTGTCTTCAATGTTTATGTGCTTGGAAATGATTGTGGTACTTCAGAGTAAGCTGTTTTAAGAGACTACTCCAACATCTAGTTAGGACGTTTTGCTATCTTAAAGGGCAGCATATAAATCAGAAGTCGGTTTTCTAAACCTTTTTTTCCATTTTTTTTTTTCCTCTTGAAGCATCTACAATATAGATCTGAAATAAGAATTGCAATTGTTCTGTCATAACTTTTCTGGCATTGATCTGTGAGTTAGGTTGGAGCGATTTGTTTTCTACCTTCTAGAATAAGGTTTTGCTCTAAGAAAAGTTAAGATTGAATCTAGAAATCACACATGGCACTTTCATGCAAACCACTCTGTCTTCCCCCAGCCTCTGCCCTAACACAGTGTAAGAGTAGGTGGAGCCGTAGTTCTAGATTTCCAATTTTACATAAGGAGTCGTTATATTTGTGGATTCTGTCCATAACCACGAACTTAAACATTATTTCCGAAATTCGTCTATATGTTTTTTTTCCCTGTTATGGAATTACATTTAATTTTTAGTATTTCTGCTATTCTGTAATGACTGATAATAGAGTTATTTGGAACACGGAGTTGGAAAGGGACCTCCTACAGTCCCTGCTACAGGAAGATGTCATTTAGTACTGCCTGTAAATATGCTTGTTTTGAGCTCCAGCTTAAGAATACTTCTGTTTTGTTCCCACCATTCTATGTAATAGGAATTCTATTCCACAAGCCTTATCAGCTTCATGGTTAAAAGAAGAAAAAAAAAATTACCCCCTATTTTCTGCCAACTTGATCTTATGCCAAAATAAACTTTGAGGTTTAACAGATCATCTTGTTCTTTGATGCATACCACCCTGCTTTTGTACAGAAGGCAATCCTATTTCTTCTCAGTCTTTGATTTGCTAAACTAAATGTGCCAGGCTTTTTAGTATCCTCTGTATTTATCCACCAGAAACTTAAGTCCCCTATTTTCTCACCAGTTCTTTTTCTGCTCTTGTAATAGATTTAGCAAAATCATGTGCAGTACTTTGGATGAGATCTCATTGCATTGTGTCACTGTTGTATTGCAGCATCCTAGTCACAAGTTGCCTCCCTTTTGTACCACTTTGGATTTCTCACAGCTTCCGTGTACTGGCAGTTCAGTCCGTCTGTAATGAGCTTGTACAGCCAGCAGGTCCTATACTTTCCCAGTTTTTTCCAAGTGATGAGCTGCTAGCTTATAGTAGAAAGATGCATATTTTTAATTAATTGGTCCCCAAACGTGTGGCTTTACACTTTGTACTACTGAATTTAATCCAATTTTTATTACAGCAGTCATCAAGGTCCTCCAGTTACTCCTGTACATTATGTCAGTCCTTTTCTGTTTTGATGGTACCTCCTTATTTTTCCATTATCACACTCTTATTTTTGTGCCAGAGTCATTAATGAAAATACTAAAGAAGAGGCCAGTTGCTGGGATCTCCACTAGCAGCTTTTCCAGATACCTCCCTTTTCAACACACTCCATTCTGTCTTCTCTTTCATTAAAACCGTACTCATTTAAAAAAACCTCTATCTTCGTTTGTTTACTGTGCAATACTGTTAAATTAGTACTTTGACTATATCTTAATTTTGCCTCCGTCTTTCTGCTTCTGTCACTTTCATACTTTCTTCAAAACTTGATCTGAAGTCCTGCATCCTACAGATTAAAGCAGTGAATCAATAGTTGCTTGGATTATTGTTTTACCTCTTCTTCAATATGTTTTTATTTGCTCTTTTTCAGTCATAGCAGTACATGCCTTGACTGCTTATTGCACGTACAGGTTATTACCCTCATTACCAGACCAGTGATTTCATGGCCATATTTTACTATGTCTTGATTCTTTCGCTCCTGTAGCTTGATGTTTAAAGGTCTTTTGCAGTTCATTCTCGGGGTGGCTGAAAGTGGCCAGTTCAGTTCTATTAGTCACCCTGTTCCCCTTCTCCTCACTTTTCGTCCAGTGTCATTGTCCCCATTGAAAACCAAGGCAAACTAGAAGTCTTGTTTGTCTACAGTTTCTGTCCTGTCACGTCCCCCCAGTTTGGTTTGCTTTTGTTACGCTGCTGTAATTGGATCAGGAACTCCTGATTTTTACCAACTTTAGAAAATGTAGTTTTGGAAAGACTTTTGGTACTTACAGCTCTTAATGTAACTTCCTGAGTGAACAGGTCTGTTTTTTCCCTTTGTCCTTGTCCTAGTCATTCTTTCCTTCTAGTTTCTTTGCAGTTTCTCATGTTTCTAACATGCAGTGACCCTGCCTCACTTTCACCTTAATTTGTATCTTTTTTTGAGGAATACCTACCATTTGATACCATAAATGAATCAGGATTTATTTGGCACTGTTTCTGTTAGACATAAACTGCATATTACACCTCTGCCACAGAAGCTGAAAATGCCCTCATCTTTTGTAATGACTTTTGGCCCTAGTGTACAAATATTTCATTCACTCTTCCAGACAGCATCCCCAGGGGCATCAGACACATTTCTTTAACTAAGGTTTAATGGCTACAGAAACAAGAAACAAATAAGATACCACCATTTAGCCAGACTAGCTGATGTACTAGTTTTTCTTCCCTTCTTGTCTCCCCTCTTGTCTCTTGGACCTTCCCTATATAACATGAAGGCAAGCACATTGATGCCGGGCAGTTTTGGCTGGGTGTGACGCTAGATTGTAGGAGATCCAGGTTTGGTCCCCTGGATTATCCCCCTGCAGACGGGAATGCCAAGAAGCATGCCTGTCTTTTAACAGCAGTCTCTGCTAATGCCATGAAAGGCTCCAGTTTGTCTCACACTGTGTCAGATTTTTGGCGAGGAAAGTGGCATCGTACTTAATGCTAATTTCAAGGACTGTAACTGAGGTGGTTGTCTAGGATCCCGTCATTATCAATGGAGAACTGTAGGTAGCTCCAGGAGATGACAGAGTTTATTGGCTGTCCTGGACATCTTTGCCTGCATGTGATTGCATAGGTATCTTTGCACTTTTCTTCTGGAGCTGCTTGCCCTCTGTACAGGAGATCTAGGCAGCCAGTGAGGCTAAGGGTCTAGTTTTTAGATAAAGTTGGACAAAATGAATTGTGTATGCAAGACCAGCGATATGGCGCCTCAAAAAATAAGCAGGAGCCTAAAGTAGTACAGGGGACACTATAGATATGTCCTATATACAGAAAGCCTGTACTCTTTAAAGTTCTATTCCTTGAAAATAAGACTTTATTTTAAGAAACATTTGTTTTGGTAGCAGTAATGTGAGTATTCAATCAGTTTTTGTCCCTGCTACATTTTGTCACTGATATCCTTGCCTCCTGTATATTGCATCGGCATAACTTTTGGCAGATCTAGATCAGCTCCCTGCCCTTAGTTGAAAACAAACCATAAAGGAAACTAGATTTAAGAAGCAAAGTCTGGAGTGAGATGAAGATGCAGATTTAAAATCTTCAATCATGTAACAGTAACTGTTGCCTCCCTTTTTAGGAAGGGATGTTATGCGAGTAGTAGTACTCACTGAATGACTGTAACAGTGCCCGTAACCCATTTTGAATGATTTCTGTGTGCTGTGTGATTTGTATGGAGCCTAGATGTATAAACAAAGTGTAGCTTAATATGTATAAACTACATAAGTGAGTTGCTGTGTATAACTGAAGTGAGAGCTGCTATAATTTAGTTTAATTTGATTTTCAAGTGAACAGTTCACTTTATCTGGTTTTCCCTCAAGTTTATAATCCAGGTAATTATTTCTGTGTTTCCAGTACAAAGTAACCATTAGGTTAGTTTATAAGGTGAATTTTTTCCTGTCAAGCCATTGCATGTTCACTTAAATTGTAAAGGAAGAATGAACCTTTATTAAATCTGCATGGAATATTTTGACCTAGGTTCTATTTGTCAACAAGAAAAATTAATGACTGTGCCGTTTATACATCACTTGGGTGATTTCTTATTTTAATTAATACCATTCTGGCGCAAGAAGAACCCATTAAACTATTTCTCAGGTTGGGGTTTTTTAATGCCTTGGTTTTGCCTCATATTTGGTTTTGTTGTGAAACATTTTTGGAAACTCTTAGATTTTTCTTGGTTTAAAACCCAGTAACTTTTATGAAAATAATAATGGTGATGACAAATCTCACAGCAGAAATCTTGTAGCTGAAGGTAAGTGATTGGTCACATAGCATAGAACCTCATGGGAGTTAAAAAACCCTAAATCATACAGTCTTCCAAATGGTATTGTTACAATGGGCTTTTCACTTTTTCCTTCAAAGTGGCCTTTTAGCTCCTAATGCATGTCGTAGGAAGCTGCGTATTTGGAATTGTGAGGCTTCCTAGGAAATGTTTTTACAAATGACCATAGATATACTAAAACGCAAATATGTGTTATTCGGGAGGTTGTGTAGTTATTTACCTTTTTGGTTTTAGTGATCAGTTTGAGATAGATTAGTCTGATAGAGTGTACTCTCTATTTACTTTCTTTAAGGACGAAAGAAGAGTTGGAAATAATACTTCAAAAGAAACCTGGCAAATGTTCAGCAGTTTTAGCTATTAACAGAGAGCCTCTAGAGAGTCAAGCTACATTGAGTTGTTAAAACTCTAAACAGTTTTTTCAAGTATTTCTGGAAGTTTCTAGCATGGCATGGGCTTGGGCTGTTAGTGCCGTTTGGAACCATTCTCATATACCCCCTTTTCACCCAAAATTGGAACTTTAGTGCAACTATGTAGCAATGTATAGAAGTTAAAAGTTGGCATCCTGTAAGAGCAACTAGGAGGAAATGTTCTTGGAACACTTGTTGTGTTAAGATGCTGAGTGATGTAGTAATAGAGAAATGTTCTTGGCATCAGAAGATTTTTATAGGGACAGTACTTGGGCGACGTACAGTGTATAGCCCTTTGGAAAAGCATAGGATACTGCCCGAAAGATTACCTTGAATGTTCATGCCAGCTGCACAGATACTTGGAAATCTAACTGTCCAGAATGTGACACATCACACTTATATCATGTATGGGTTGCAGGCAAGTTTAGAAATGTGTTTATCACAGAGTAAGTGGAAAAAATCAGCCTGTGGCAATACAGAATATTCTGATAGCACCTCTGGAGGTGACAGCTGCTTTGATTAAGGTACCATCCTTTCCCAAATATCCAAAAATTTCTGCACTGGGCTGTGCTAGAATTTACTGCATTTGGTCTTCCCTTTTGGAAGACACACAGAATTTTTTAAGTCTGCTTTTCAGTTTGTTCATAATGCTGTAGATCAAAACATGGACAATTAAGCATAGACTTAACAATTGGGCTAAGCTGCCAGATGTTAAATACTGCAACCTGTGTCAAATCTCCAAAAATAACAAAATACATGCTTGCGTGTGTGAGCAAACTGGGACACGGATGTGTAGGATTCAAGCAGGGAGTCTTAAGATAGAAACGTGGAAAGCAGCAATGTCAGGTTATTGCTTGAATCTTACCATACTGCTATATCATTTTACCATGTACGTAGCTATATCATGTATTTGTCAAATTAATGTTATCTTTACTGACCTACACAGTAGTTGCTTAAAAAAATTCAAATAACTCTTTCTGATAGTAACAGCTAATTTTGGTTTTTGTTACTCAGTTTCTCTGCATAAAACAACATTTTCTGTATCAACTAGTAAATTACTTTGCTCGTCACAGCATTAACTTGAAACACAGTGTCAATGACTACAGGAAAAAGAAATTATTGTAGCACCCTCATGTAATTTTTTCCAACCTGTGGCGTCAGAACGTCTGGAATATGACAATTTGTTAAATGATCTGCTGTATCCTGCATGCTGGGTGGACTGCATTTATGTTTTGGTTCAAAAATTGCTGTCTGTTACTATAATAACCCAAAGTTTATTATATATTCTTTGTGTTTTTAAGATGCTAAGAGGGCAAGCAGTATGTCGTTTTTGAGCTAGCCAGCAGGAAATGTAAGGTATCTGCAATTTTGGGGTTTTCATTAAGTATGCTTCTTGTATGGCTCGATGAGAAGAGCCATGCAGTTTGACACAGCTGACATATAGATGAAGGTCCTGAGGTTTTTTAAAATGTCTTAAATTTTTATTTTCCCAAGTCAAATGCACAACAACAGAGAACAGGGAGGAAGAGAAGGAATTATTCTTCTTCCTGGATGTGCCAGAGTCCCGGCACCCTCCTTTGCTCTCAGTCTGACCCTCTAGAAACATTTGAAACATGAAACAAGACCATATGGGTTGCTTACCCATGGATAAAAAGGAAGGAGAGCAGGAAATGCTATGTTGCTGATGTGAAACACATCATTCCCAGAATTGTTGGATGAAACCCAATCTTGGGCATATCATTTTTATACTGTGCTTTTCTATTGCTTGAAAAATAGAAGTATTTCTATTACTGTAGAATGTATGTATGTGCATATAGAAACACACACAAATGCATGAAATCTTCAGTGGCTCTAGATATTATTTGCTAGAGACTACTTTAAGGGATTATTATTTTTTGGCTAAACGAAGCTGAAACTTGTAGAGGATCCAGAAAGTTCTGTATTTTGAATTTGGTACCAGAAGGCCAAGAACGGTTCAAGACATTTTGATATGGATGAACATCCACATTTGGAGAAGTCTTGAGGCATTTGTGGTGTCTTAGTCATCATATTTAGCTTTATTTTTAAACATCCCAGTCTCTAAAATATTACTAAGTTGTTCTTAATCAGTATTCAAGGCTAAATAATAAACTTTGTAAAGCTGGTTTTGAGTCTGTCAAACTCAGCACTGTCGTTGTAGCACTTATACTGAGGAAACTGATCTTCTGTATTTAATTTTTAAGGGAAATACATGCAGATGATGAATATTCTGAAACCAATTGCATTTGATGTGATCCACTTCATGTCCCAGCTCTTCGATTACTATCTGTATGCAGTCTATACATTTTTTGGCCGAAATGACACGGTGGGTAGAAATATTATTCATTTCCGAGTATTAATGTACACACAGAATGAGAATGCAGAGATCTCTTTAGGTAAAATACTACCTAATACGTAATCTCTAGAAAAATTAATGGCAACAGAGTGGATTTGAATGCAGGAGTAAGAAAAGGCTGATTAGATCAGCAGTAAGGGGAGTAAGCACTAGGAGCATCATTATCACTGGGACATGAATCCTATTATGTTCAAAATAGATTCTGTACTCTTTTTCCAGCAGTATTTTGAAAGGGAGGAAAGACAACATGAAATGCCTAAAAGTAGTGGCAGAAAGTGGGGATCAAAGGAGCAGTCTGCAGAAGCAGGGTGGTGGTTTGGAGCCTGAGAGACTATGAGTTGATTTAATTTTCCTATATTCATTTCTCTAACTTAGATAAGAGTAGCAAAAGGAAGAGGTGAAGGGGGCCATGAAGTAGTAACTCAGGTTTAAGAAATATGAAATGCACTTTTTCAAATCTAGTATTCTTCTGTCAAATGAATTGCATTAATGAAAACAGATTGTTTTGGAGTGATCTTGTAGCTGAAATAAATGCTTGCTGGCGGTGTCTTTACATAACATAGATCAACTTTCAACAGATTATCTTAAAGCATTTGTGAAAAGCTGCGTGTAAAAACAATTTTCTCCTCTCCTGGCCCCACATTACTCCACAAGTAATAATGTTGTGGGGTTCCAAATTCATCATCATATGTTGGCAAATTGTAATGGATTTTCGTACTCAGCATATGGTTCTAAATGGTTTTGAGCTGTTCTCTTTGGCAGAACAAATGTATTTGCAATTTGTTTGTGTTTAGAAGGTTTTTTTGTTTTTGTTTTTTGTTAAGATAATTGATTTCCATTGACTTAGCTGCTCTGGTATTCACATTGTGTTGCATTTCTTTTTATATTTTTGTACCTCACATTTTGTGTTTTTAAAGCCCATACCAAGTTCCTCACTCTCTGCTTCTAACAGAGAACAGCACAGTGCTGGGCAGGTAAACATTATAGCAGATGGGTGGTAAAAGTATGATGTTTTTGTAGTGTGTCTAATTTTTGTTTTGACAGATGATTTTCCATGGGAAGCATAATGCTTACAAACGGTCTATGAATGTAATAAACCCTCTTGTAAGGCTGCTTAAATGGCCTCACTCCCCTTAGTGTTTGTCAACCTTTAGAAAGTAGAAATGGGTGATGGTATGTGATTTAGACCACTGAGAGTGTTACTGTTTTAAGTATTTTTATTTACAATATAGCATCAAATGAGACTCTTAAAAGTATGCTGGTAATTGAACTTCCTTAAATGACTGGAATTCTTTGTGAGTATTGTGTTTATGTTGTATATGTGAGTTAGTGCACGCATAAGGAGAGTGATTAATTGTACAGAGTTCAGTGCCAGTTCAGTGAAAACCAAGGATTTAAAATATACATGTTGACTGCTGTGTCTGGTCATGATGCTAAGTCATTGCTCTTCCCAGAACTCTTTAGAATGTTTATCTTATATAGTCAGTATTTGGCTTTCTTCACTGCCAAAAGTAGCACACTGTTGTAACCAGAATTGCTCTTCTAAAACCGTTTTAATTTCTGGGGTGCAAGTTAAGGCAGCCTTTCCTCCTTGTCTCAAATTTTGGAGCAACCTAACATGATATTAAAAGAAATTGCCTATATCAAATATCTGTTCAATGAAGTGTAAGACATTCATGAACATGCCACAGAATAATCTTTTCTTAGCAGAATAAATCTGAGGTGAGTTTTAATTTTTTTTGGCACGACATTATAATAATTTGTAAACCAATGGCCATTCTTATGGAAAACAGGTTTGGGTTTTTTTTAACTATACGGGGTTGTGTAGAATTGGTGATGAGTATAAGTATTCTGTAAATTGTCTAATGCTTTGCTTACTAACCTTAGTAGGTCATCAATTTGTGGAATTTAAATATTTACCATTTTGCATATAGAAATAGCAAAAACGTCCATGAAGCAAAGCAGTTATACTGATGAGGGACATGTTCTATGTGAAGTCATAAGGTTCTGTGCTTGTGGAAAAATCCTGAGCAACAATCTTTTGGGGGTTTTTTTGATTGTTGGTTGGTTGGTTGGGGTTTTTTCCCCTCATACATGCAGGTGCACAGTTCTGACTTCAGGCTGTGACTGGTTGCCTGATAAATCTGGAGTCCTTGGTATGTAATGGTTTAATGGAAATCTAATTTTGGTTTTACATTCCTTTTTATTTATATGTTTCAAATATGGAACTGCCATTTTTTAGAAAGAAATGTATCATTATAGAAGTAAGTGAAAGTTACTGATAGCTATTGAAAGTTGGTAATTGAAAGGCAGAAAGAAAGGATTAGTGACAGAATATGTTGTGCGTAGTTTTGATGGTGCAGGTGCAAAATTCTTGAAGTGAAATTTAATGGCTAAAACTTCCAAATACATTTTTTTTTTTAATATATATGTATTTTTGCTCTTTAAGCAGGGTATTCTTTTTGTTCTTGCCTTAACGGGGTGAATAGCCAGTCTTGAATTTTCAGTCCTTATGGCCATATCTTGAAAAACTGCTATATGACTTAAGGAGGGGAAAAAAGATAATCTGGAGAATTAAGGGTTTGTGTTTCTCAAAGGCAAGAAAGGTTTACTTTTTCACCCATATACTTGCAAAATCAAAGGCAGTTCAGACCTGATACTTCTACAGTAAAAATGTGAAGAAAAATATAAATGATATTTGTAAAAAAGCTTAATTCACCTGCAGAAAAACAAAGGTGTGAACACTTCTCTTTATCAAATATGGACACTGGGATAGTGATTTATGTCTCCTAGATCAGGTTCTAGATTTCAGCAGAGTGTACTTCCAGTGGGAATTCAGCTCGGATGTAAATTTTCATTGAATATATAGGAGCACTGGGGCAGATGGATGTCTTCGATCAGAAATGTTACAGGCAGTAAATGGGGACCTAAATTATACTGGTTTGGATTTCAAAGGAGTGGAGGAGATGACATGAACTCGAACACTTCCTTTTCTGATTTAGTGCACTGAAAGGAAGTCTAATAATACAGTGTACAACAGTGCTCTAAATATTGCTCAGTAAATTGCCTTTTGGTGTGAATCACATACCAGAACTGTGTTCAGATACTTCCAGATTCTTGACATAAATGTGTATTTCTTAGCTGTCCTATTTCCACTTCCTTTGTTGTGTTAGTTAGGGTTTGTTTTGTTTTGAACTGAAAGTAGAAGATCAGTAGCTACAATAATTATGCACATCGAGTCAGGCCCTCAACTGGTGTAATTTGTTGCATTTACCAAGAAATCAGTGTAGCTATATTGATTTATCCCAGCTGAACATCTACCCCATAATACATCTGAGCCGTGAACATGAAGATGACACATTTCTCGGGTAGATCTTTATAAGCATAAAGTAATAATGACTGTTTTATAAAGATCAATGGATATAATTTTACATATGCAAGTTAGATATTTAATAAGGAATTGTAAGAAATTTTATAGCTTGAGAGAGAAGTCAAGACCATTTGTCTTGGGTGTGACATAGATGGGGCCATCATGGTGCGCCATTTTGGGCAGGTCTCCCAAATGGGGAAATCTAGAGTCCCACGCCCAAATGCAGTATTACAACAATAAAGGATACTGGTTGTTTGCTGGTGTGAATAGAAGCTGTCATCTTCATGAAAGGTACTCGGATCATTTGTCACACCAGTGCAGTGTTGAGTGCTGTGACCTCTGTTGATTTTGTTTTCATTTTGTATGGTTGCGATTATGTACTAAAACTTTAATGTAAGTAAATTGTAGCTAGTGTTTACAAACTGAAGTTTTGCTGTATCACTGTAAAGTTTAAACCAGTAGGTTTTTGTTTCCCAGTTTAAATAGAATACATTTCTTCCAGTTTGAATCAACAGGGCTAGGCCTCAGTAGCAGCAGATTACGCACCACACTGAACAGAATCCAGGAGAGTCTGATTGATTTGGTAAGTACCTGGATTTTGTTAATGCTCAGTGGAATAGAGGTCCACGTAGGAAATCTAGGAATTGTATTTCATCGTGGCTTTCTGATTTTTATCTCTCTTCATATGCTGTGTCTGTAGTGACAAAGGCTTAGTTTCGTAGCGTATTGTGATGTAGATATTATTATTGTATGAAATCACTTGTTTCTAATATACAATAAAACTAGTTTAATAGCTTTAGCTAGATGTAACAACAAGATTATGTGTTTAAATCTTATAATGTATTATGGTTCATGTAATGGAGACATACATTCCAATGTTATTCTTATTAAATGAGAAGTTTTATGGAAAAAAAAAAACCCAAAGCCACACCATAGAAGACTCATTTTTCTTCAGTAGAACAGCAGCAAAACAGTAAGCCATCCTAAAGGTCATTCATCTTACAAGATAATAGAAGTAGTATACGAAGTCCTTCGTGAAGTGATTTCTGAACTGTGGGGAACTTTTCCCTGATGTATTTTGTAGATTATATTGCACTGCCCACTTCATGAGTTATTTTGGAAAATATGAAAAGTAAAGATGGTGCTCATGTCACACTGGTAGTAGATTACTGTCCTTCACATCACATTACGAAGGATAAACAGCAGACTTCAGGTAGATTTTGTGGATTTAACTGAGCAGCAGAGAAGAAATATTGCTAAGAACTATGCAAAAATTGAAATTTGAAGATGTTTTTTTTTCCATCTAAATATAAAACCCTTGAAGCATGAAGATATTTCTTAAGAGTATCATAAATGGCTTGTATGGTAATTAATACCATGAATGCTGCAGGAAGGATTTATTTTCTAAGACTTCTGCCTTAGAAAAATGTAGAAGACAGATGCTCTGCTCTGACTTTCACAAGGATTTGGCACTCCACAGAATTGTACTTTATACCTTTTTAATTCCTTCAAGTATTATATCAAATCTGAATTGTTCTTTCAGAGAAGCTTCTTAAAGGGTTTTGGGGCCATTTCTTATAGAGTCAGTAGAGGGAGCATAAGATAACTAATAACCCCAGGCCTCTAGAAAACAGAAAAAGATTACTTATATTGATATTTGTCTCAGAGCCAGTGTTTTCAGAAAGAAAAATTAATTCTAGTAAGATCTTGCAAAAGAATCTGTTAAAGATTGTGTAAAAATGGCAAGTTATGGAATGAATATTTTAAACTTACTCTGTCTGTAGTCACAGTTCCTGACAGTGCTTTACAGCCTTTAATTTTTTTTACCAGTCAAAATAATGTTTAAAAAAAAATTTCTAAGAGGAAATAACAGCACTTCTTTTTCTTCCTCAGTCATTTAACAGTGCTGTTACAGACAATGTTAATGTTGATTGAAATGAATAGCTATGTTCCAGGTAAGATGTGAAAGCAGGAAGAAATCTTAGCTAACTGCTATAAACGTAAAGGCATTCCTTGAGGTTTATTATATCTTATGAATTTATGCTGGTCTTGTACTATAAATGGAAATATTTCACTTACTGATTCATGAGGAAGAAAAAGTATTCTGGATATTTTTATTGTTTGCTTTTTTTTAAGAGTTTGTGAAAGTTGAGATTAATCTTTACTATGTCGTAAAACGGGTATTTCTCATGATTCTGTGGACTGTTCTGCACTGCTCTCAAAATTCTCCTCTCTTATCTTAGATTATTGTGAATTGCTTTCTGAAAATATTCCTGTTTGTTATGCGGTTTGGTCTCGTGGCCTGTTGGGAATTTTGGGTTTTTTGCATTGTCTTCTGTTCATGGTAACTTTATTAAGGGCTAATATTTCTGTTGCATTTCAGTTCCTGATGGCAGCATCTCTCAGTATTTTATTTTCATGAAGATAGTCTGAATCTGATAGTTCTGAGTCTATGACTAAGGTTCTGCCAGAATTGTATGCAGATCAGAATAGTTCCTCTAATCTGTCTGTGCATGTGAAGGTTGAGCTCTATGATCTGTGTCAAGACTCTTTAGTAATTTAGACTGGATCATTTCTAGCTTTCCTCTTGGACTTTGTCCATTCCTGTTTTGAGATACCAAGTGGATGAAGGCCTATATACTCTATTGTCAGGAGTTACAGGAATAATTAGAGGGTTTGGAGGCCATCTCCTCCAGCCTTTGGTAGACTTTCTGTAGTTTCTGTTTGGGATTGAATTAATTCAATCTAGTTTATATCAGATACCTTTTTAGGATACTACTTTTATTATTTTTCTGCTGCATTTTAAGCTTCCTTTGTGAAGGAAAAGGGATTCTACTTTTGTCAAGGTAAAGCCAAGCTGCACTTAGCATTCTTTCTTGCATCTTTGTAGCATCTTCAGCATGAAGAGTGTGGAGGTCAATTGGAGGCATTCCCCATAGCTCCTTATGGAGCTGCTGTATTTTAAGTTTATACTTCCCTATTATTACAGTGCAAGCAGTGTCTGTGCTTTTAATATATACTGTACTTACCGTATACTAACCATACTTGAGAAGAAGTACTATCCTGGTTTTCATCTGGACCACCGAGACAGAGAGCTGGGTTTCTGACTCATGGCCACTGAGCAAAAAAGGCTGCAGCATCTCTCTTCCCTGCATCCCTTCTTAGGCATCAGATGCCTCCTGCTTCTGCTGGAGGGTCCTTGTCCGCTCTAAGCAGTACTCAACTGTAGCTGAATCACTTGTCTGCTCTTTCGCAATCTAATCCTTCGTAGCAAAGCCAACTGTACTTCATAAACTGCAGCAAGTCCACTGCAGTTTAGATTAATGTTTTAGACTGTGAACAGAAAATATCTGAGATATGAACATGTGTTCAGTCGTGTTGACTTCACCACAGGGCAATAATGTGACACCTCAGATGTGATACATATTATTTACTGTCTGTATGCTGCTTCTACACTGATACAATAATACACATTATGGTAAAAAAAACCAAATGCAAACAATAACCACCAAACCCCATCACTTCAGTTGGAAGTAAAAGTTCCCCTCCTCCTTGTATTTGTGGTACAAAAACGTATTTGTAACTTGTTTTTTTTTTGTTTTATTTGGATGTTTTGTGTCATGTAATCAAAATGACAATGATGAAGAGACTTAACTCTTTACAAGGCTGAGCAAGCATGTTCGTTAGGCACTACTGCTTTAAATATGCTTCCTATTTCAATCTGTTATAAATATACCAAGGGTGAGGTTTTGTCCAGCTCTGCACTGCTAGTATTGGTACTGATCTGAGTATGGTCTGCAATTTCTTTTGATATATAAATGAAAGAAGTTTAGTTAAAAATGAAGGGGCCTCCAATTAGTGAAACTGTTTGTTTTCTTATAGTAAGTTATGTGGAAGTGTGCTGGGAGCTTAAGGTGATTGAGTAACCAGTTTTCTGTGTCTAAGCTACTTGTCTTTGCCTGAAGGAAATACTTGTAGGCTAACTCAAAAGTGTAAAAAAATACAAGCACTTTGAGTATTTGTGTTGAAGCAGATCAGTGTGCATTTTCATTTCTGAGATGTAAGAGAACAATATGACTTTCAAATCTTTGTTTGGATACGTTGTACTGAATTTTATATGTGTATGTGAACTTCATATTCAGACATTTCCACAGCTAGTACAAAATAGCTTCAGTACAGATTTCTGCCGTGCAGCAGCTTCGGAGCTAATAATTTGGATCCTCCAGAAACGGCACTCTACAAGCTGTGTTTCATTCATACCAGCAGGATGTCTTAAACGGAAGACACAGAAGGAGAAGAGTGAAAAGGAGAGGAAGAAGTGCTATTGTTTCAGCCTCGCTGTAATACTGAGGTGGGGTTTTGATTAAGCCAAATACATTGAAGCAAGCGCCCGTTTCTGAGCTGCCTACGTCTCCTCACTGACGGTTCCCCTGAGTGAGATGTGTAGAGATACCTATGTGCATTTGGTCCTTGTGTTCATCATTTCTAAGAGGAATGTGTTTTTGCAGCAGTAATGATGTTCATATTAGTCCACTGAGACCAAGCCCCCAAGTAGGTACAAGGCATCAATCAGATTGATGTGTGCTATGATAACTGGTGATTTGGAAGATAAATTCCTACTTCTGATTCCTTGCTTTATCTGTCCCTAAGCAGCTTTCTTATCTTCACACAATGTAACTTAGTCATGGTGCTACCATTACCTAGATGTTGTTTGTGAATGTCCTGTGTATGCAAATAGCTGACTTGAGTGATATTGCTGCTTCCAAAAGCGAGATTTTGGGGGGCAAATAACCTTGGAATACTCATAAATATTTCATTGCAAACTGGCTTGCTCACGTAAAACTGAGATTTAGAATGAAGTTTGTTAGAGTTACTGTGCCATACACCAGTAGAAAATAAATCACTGTGGTAAAGTATATAAGTGGTAAAGTATATAAGCATTGCAATGTAATGTATAGAAGAGTAGATGGGAAGAATCACTGGTGTAAAGAACTGTTGGTTAATGTATTGTAGATTCTGTCTTTAGCTTTTGGGCTCTTTCCCCATAAAGTATATATCTTTTAGCAGAGACAGTAGGCTAGAGATTGATGATGCAGAGATGGAAAATGTAGATTTTTTTTTTTTTCTTTTTTTTTCTTTTAGCTGTACACATAAGATAGGGAATAATGGAAGGAACAATTTTTTTCATGCCTGACTTTCCAACCCATCTTGGCTTTGACCCTTTGATGCTGTGGAACGGTACAGTTCAGTTATGCTAGTCCCACCTGTGGAAACAAATGATTCCGTTTTACTTAGAAGATCAGAGCACAGTCCTGCATTGCTTAGTGTGGACATGTACCCTGTTGTGTCCTGGTTTGGCATAGTGGTAAGCTCTGGCAAGTCAGGGGTGTGGAATTTGTTACTTGACATGGTAGTGCCCAGTACAGGATGCTACTGTGATCCAGTACAGGATGCTATGCCTCAAAGGCATAGCTGAGCTCCTCACTGAGATATTAGCTGTGGGCTGTGATTCTTGATGAGGTTTTGTTTGACCAAACATAATATCTGCAACTTTTACAATACTTGCTTGGTCTCCTGTTCCTT